AGAGTAATTGCCTCTTCCTTGCTGCATATTCACTCTGCATCCCTATAGGAAATCTGAACTGTACCTGTGCCACTCCATGAAACTTTTTTTTTTTTTTATTCCTTTTTGTCTTTTTTACTGACCGGCAACGGGATCACAACCCTCAGTGTCATGCCCGTACCGGGGACCGGCAACAGGATCGCAACCCTCGGTGTTGTGTCCGCACCACGCTCAGCCAGTGAATGGGAACCGGTCTCCACAGGGGCCCCGACCCCGCGGTGGGCGCCCCCCCGCCCCCCCAAGCGGCGCACTCTCCAGTGCGCCACCGGGCCGGCCCTGAAACTTTTTTTTTTTTTTATTCCTTTTTGTCTTTTTTACTGACCGGCAACGGGATCACAACCCTCAGTGTCATGCCCGTACCGGGGACCGGCAACAGGATCGCAACCCTCGGTGTTGTGTCCACACCACACTCAGCCAGTGAGTGGGAACCGGTCTCCACATGGGATCCGAACCCTCGGTGGGAGCACCGCCGCACTCCCAAGCGGCGCACTCTCCAGTGCGCCACCGGGCCGGCCCTGAAACTTTTTTTTTTAAATCAATATACAATGTAGTTGATTTTCATGTGTGCCCTGCTGTCTTTAGTATACAATATTTGAGGTCATTGAGCACTCCCTCTTTGGAACTCTGCTTTTGCTTTCCAATTGCTCTTTTCTTCCCATCTCTTGAGCTGGGTTCTTCTTGGGTGTTGCTTTGGCCTTCAATGTATGTATGTCCAGGACTCTGTTTTGGCTCTCTTCTCACTCTCCCTGGGCGGTGTCCTTCACCTTGATGTCTTTAACAGCCATATTCTGGGTTTTTTTTGGGGGGGGGGGCGGTGGCTGGCCAGTACAGGAGTCTGAACCCATGACCTTGTTGTTATAAGGCTGCACTCTAACCAACTGAGCTAACCAGCCAGTCCGGTTTTTATGTACTTAAACGGATGAAAAAACCCCTGAAAGAACAGTATTTTGTGACATGTGAAAATGATATGAAATTCAAATTTCAGTGTCCATAAAGTTTTACTAGAAGACAGCCATTCTCACTTATTTTCATATTGTCTTAGGCTACTTTTGTGCTACAATGGCAGAGCTGAATAGTTGTGACACAGACCATGTGGCCTGTTAGCCTAAAACATTTACTCTCTGGCCCTTTACAGAAGTTTGCCAAGTCCTGGTCTAGACAGTGCTAGAAGAGCACTCTAATGAGATGAGTTTCAAGAAGGAAGGTTGTTTCTAGGGCCGAATGTGGCACTCAACATGGAAGATCCCCTCCACCAACTCTTTTATTTTTATTTTTTGGTGGCTGGCAGGTGTTGAGATCTGAACCTGTGACCTTGGTATTATAAGGTCCACCAATTCTTTGAAAATAACTATGTAGGAGACAGAATTTGATTAAAAAACAACTTCACATTTTATTTTATGGAATATGGTCATTTGTTGAGTTGAAGACAGAGGGTAAGAACTGTTCTGATACAGATTCTGAACAAAAAACGCCCACCCCATCTCCCACTATGGACACTTATAATGACTAACTGATCATTTTGTACACAAGATATTTCATTCATCAGAGCTGAAGATGTTTAACAAAATTAGAAACTTTAAAAATTCTGCAGGGCCGGCCTGTGGTTCACTCGGGAGAGTGTGGTGCTGATAACACCAAAGCCATGGGTTCAGATTCCATATAGGGATGGCCAGTTAGCTCACTGGGTGAGCATGGTGCTAAGAACACCAAGTTAAGGGTTAAGATCCCCTTACCGGTCATCTTTAAAAAAAAAAAAAAAAAAAAGCTGCAGAAAAGGCCTACATAGGCAAAGTATAAGATTTTACTAAATGGATGTAGTGTACACTTAAAATTACATATTCAATAAAGAATAATTTTTTTTTTTTTTGGTGGCTGGCCAGTACAGAGAGTGAACCTGGACCTTGGTGTTATCAGCACTACGCTCTAACCAACTGAGCTAACCGGCCAGTTAGCCCTATTGAGAAGTTAAAACTGACATTTTTTTTCCTTGTAACCTGAGTTAAATTCAGGTCTCCTTTCTTACAGAATGTAAAAAAGACACACATGAAGCAACTCCACTGCTGTTAAGTTATGAATTACTAGATGTTAGAAAAGGTTTCCTCTGAAGGAGAATGCACTTATTTTTTAAATTAGTAGCACACTTAATATATGACCAACCTAATGTTAGAAAAGCCACTTTTTTGAAGGCACAGTTTGTTTCCAGATCAACTGTGGAAATCAAAATCTGTCTTATAATCCCCCACTACTACATTTGACTGGCTTAAAAAATAAAAAAACCTGCTTTACAAACCCCATCTGGCAAGAGGGATGAGTTCACTGGTCTCGTCCTGTGGTACCAAAGCCCAACCCATAGCCAGCCCCAGCACTGACACCTTTTAGTGTTTCCATGAGATGTGTCTAGTCAGTGGGGTAGAATGTTTTCTTTTTGATCACAATCATCACGTGAAAAAATTCTGGAGTTTCTTCAGATCTCCCTTCATTCTCTTTGAAAATGCAAGCAACTTTGTTTTATGAAATACCATCAGTAGCCAGTCCTTGGTCGGTGTGGGGGTAGGGAAGACCCAGCAGAAAGAAGCAGCTGGCCATCACGTAGTTTAGGGACAGTCCCTTGGCCAAGGACTTAGAACAAGAGAATCTGAACAGGAACAGGACACAAATATGAGACCCTCTAATGTGTCATAGGAAGACAAATTTCCAGAAAAGTGAGGGCAACTCTCTTTCTGTATACTTGGGGTAGAAGCAAAGAACTATGAAAGGGAATGGTAATTGGCTTTATCAATCCGACAAAAGACAGGGAAGGTACATATAGATGTTATTTTGCTTCAAGTCAGTTAAATCATTAATCCCATTATGCAAATGGAAGGCCACTGATGAGAATGTTTGGAGTGTCCTTTACATGTATTTATTTGAAAAAATAAGTTTAGGCATGAGGTATAATGCCTAATCTCCATAAGTGTATGCCTGATGATGATAAAGAAAAACAGTTATTATGACATACATGGAAAAAGGTGTTAGAGGAAAAACCTGGAAACAATTAGAATGAGTGGAAACATTCACACAAGCCAATCTGCACTCTGGTTTCATGCTTTTGAGCAGCCTTTTTGCTGAAAGCCCTGTGAACTCGTTTTGTTTGGGTTGGGCGTTATGTTTACAATTCTCCTCCTGTCAGTTATCAAGAGAATAACAATGCTGAGCTGATCTGATAAGCAAATGTCTAATTTGATTAGCTTTGATTAAGTCCTCACACCCTGGAATAGTTATAATGATGTGGGTCAGAATCCCTGAGGTGGCTGGAACATGACCATGGAGGCGGTATTTTTAGGAAGGTCATGCATTATGGGATGGGGACTTTTACAAACAAATTTCTATGTTGCAGCATTTCAAAGAGGTTTCCTTTACTTTGAGGGACTTTCATCTATAGGATGTGGACTCTAAAGGAAAGCATCACAAAATGGAACAGGTCACACAGGCGAGTGCTATGTTTTAAGGTGAAAGACACTATTTTTTTACAGTTTCTGAACTATCTTATTAAAATCAGTCCCTTTCATTATCTTCCAAATATATATATATATATTTTAAAGATGACCTGTAAGGGGATCTTAACCCTTGACTTGGTGTTGTCAGCGCCATGCTCTCCCAAGTGAGCTAACTGGCCATCCCTATATAGGAATCTGAACCCATGGCCTTGGTGTTATCAGCACCACACTCTCCCAAGTGAGCCATGGGCTGGCCCTATCTTCCAAAAATTTTAATTAATTAAAAAACAAAAAAAAAAAAGACAATGGCCTAGGACTAGCCAGTTAGCTCAGCTGGTTAGACAAGGACCTTGTAAATTCAATTATTTCGTTCATTATCTTCCAAATATATATATATATATTAAAGATGACCTGTAAGGGGATCTTAACCCTTGACTTGGTGTTGTCAGCGCCATGCTCTCCCAAGTGAGCTAACTGGCCATCCCTATATAGGAATCTGAACCCATGGCCTTGGTGTTATCAGCACCACACTCTCCCAAGTGAGCCATGGGCTGGCCCTATCTTCCAAAAATTTTAATTAATTAAAAAAAAAAAAAAAAAAAGACAATGGCCTAGGACTGGCCAGTTAGCTCAGCTGGTTAGACAAGGACCTTGTAAATTCAATTATTTCGTTGGAGGTACCAACACAAAGAAATCAATTTTAATTAATGCTTTTAAATGATGCCTTTTGTAAAATGAAAGGAGAAGATGAGCTGGGCCAGTTAAAATGATAATTTTTTTTTTTTTTCCTTCTTAGCCAAATCCTTCTATACAAAGTCAGCATCATTTGTGGAGTTCCAGTCTAAAACTGGGTGGCAAAAAACCAAGTGACAATTCAAGTCACCTTGCAAGAAGTGCAAAAGAGTGAGTGGGAATTCTGGACAGGTCAGGAGACCTCTGGTACCAAATAAACATTCTACCATACCGAGGCCTGGCCAATGGTGATTCTCAGAGGAGTGGAGGGCTCGGTGGAAGAAGACCACTGAGTCCTCCTGCTTGGCCATGTCTGTGTGATACTCCATTCCTACCAACTCTACAGGAACCCTCAGTCAGTCAGCCAGGCAGCCTTGAGCCAGTGGAGAATCTGTTCTCAACCACAGATAGTTTGACATGAGAGGAGGTGGGGAAGAAGGGCTCCCCCAATTCCCTGCACATTTTTAGGTGTCACACTGAGCAGTGCTGGTCTGAAGCCCTCGTACTAAAACGCATGCCAAGAATAGAGAGCAGAAGTAGAAGAGGTGACATCTGTCAACAAAAGAGCAAAGAATGCAACATATTCTCTTAATCTAACACTAATCCTTTTCCTGTGCGTGTGAACGTGAGAAAGACGACTCCTAAACAAAGGTGTGGAAAGGACCCACCCCCCACAAACAACTAGCTCTCAGTCCCTGAACACTGAATCACAAATGAGAAATACAGCAAACAGAGAAATAGAGGAGACTGAAATTCTGTCCACATCTTTCCATATACTCAATAAAGCGAAAAATACAACTTTTTCTTCTTATTCCAGTATGGTAATCAAAGGCCCAAGATATTCAGAGGCAGGTTATTGTGCTCAGACAAAAACTCTAAGCATTCAGCTAAAAGAACTTAGAGAGGTGTTGGCCCTAAAAAAGAAAGTGCGACACACACCTTCTCGTAACAACAAAAATCTCTTAAGACCCACTCTATTACAGCATTTGCAAACACACATTAAATTATATACTAAAATAATAAATGAAATTTCTTGGGAGTTTGAAAAAGATCTTTCAAATCTTTTCATCACGATGTAGTGGAAATCCCTGTTTCTAGAGTTGGCGCACTTTTCTTTCCGTGCTTTTTATATTGACATCTAACTTGTCCACTTTGGTTGTCAACCGGTCAAGAATGTCGTCTTGCTCCTCAATTTCTGTCTGTATCCCCAGGGCTATGTCCTTCAGACGGCCCAGTCCCATGGACAGCTCATCTGTGGGAGAAGAAAATGACATACAGGCCTGAACAAACATAGTCACAGCACCTTCAAATGCTTCTCATTCCCTCCTATGTGCTCAGCAACATCTGGATTACCAAGTTGTCTTCCTTATACAACAGGCTAAACTCCAGGGCTTTGGTTACATTTTCCAAAATAAGTGCAAGTGAAAGGAATATCTGTTTACTCAGTACACGGTAACATGTGCTTAATGTAGAGCCCATCCCTCACCCTCTCGCCCCCAAGATAACCACTGTTAATATAATGGTATTTCTCTTACCAGTATTTAAAAAAATGGATATAAATCTACATAATTTTCCAGCTGCCTTTAAACCTTCTAATAGGTTGCTGCACATTTCAAGATTACTTAGTGCCCAAGGATAAGAGAAGCACAGAAGGGCCTGGAAAACACATTCCCTTCCTTAGACCCCACAGTGAGTACCTTGGAGAGGTATGCTGGTCACTAAGTTATGCTGGTCACATCCAAACCCACTGGCCTGATCTTTAGGAGCAAAAACCTCACGTCAGTGGATAGAGCTCAGAGTGCCTGCTTTCCTTCCTTCCATCTCCAGCTCCCTAAAGCTAGACCAAGCACAGATCTGGAGTGGCAAATATGGGGACCCCCGTCTGGAAACACATCTCAGAGACAGACCTTGTAGCCCCTACCCCAAACTCCCTCTGCAGAAGGCTGCATCCCCCCATCCACTCTGCAGGGGCACTCTGTCCCTGCCCTGCTACCTGGGGTGCCCTGCCAGAAAACACATACTGCAGATGTTCCCATTGGACCCGAATGCTGTGTAAATCCTTTACTTCTGTTATTAAATTCACATTTCTACACATTCAGTGGTTCATTCATTGCTACCACCTCCCAGATCCACAAACACATCGATGCTGTGAATGTGCTGAGTTATGATGGTCAGGTATTTCCCAGGACCAGGCTGCCACCATTTCCTTTGCTTACTTTGTGGTCAGGAAGAAGACAATGGTCTCTGAACAAGTTGAGTACACAGACCCCCGCAGCCATCCCAGGGTTCCCATGTCAAAGAACGAAGTGCTGAGGGTGCTGGGCTTCTTCAGACATGCCACTGGGCTGAGCCCGGGTAACTGTGCAGCACAATACTTTTGGCAAAAGCTCAGCTCTTGTAATAGGTTAAAAAATTACTGCCGAAATTCAAATCTGAATAGGATAAGTGAGAGCCCCATTTCTGCAAAGAAAAAGTGTAGTATTGACTCTGGTCAGTTTTACTGAGTCTGAGTTCAAATCCTGACCCTGCTCTTTAGGTGTGTTCTGGCCCACTTGGGACTCAGACCATAGTGGAGGTGACTATCCTGTGAGAGGAAGGCACCCAGGAACGGCCCAGCCACAACTAGCCACTTGTGCTAGAAACCTTCTATACTCTCTTTCCCTCCTTAAGGCTTTTCCAGTGTTTGTAATATTTTTTTTACCTTTCATAAAGTTGTAAATTCAATCTGACATTCGTTTTTGTTTTGTTTTGTTTTTGGCTGGGATCGAACCCTGGACCTTGGTGTTATCAGCATCATGTTTTAACTAACCAAGCTAACCGGCCAGCCCTTACTTTACTTAAGAGGGATAATGTCTATGAGGACGTGGCCAGCATTAGGAGTACATGAAAGGCCTCTTTGGCACACGATGATGTGAAAAGAACAGAGGGTGGGTGTGAGGGGCAAACATGCCAAGAGACTCTGGTGTCCCCTGGTGGGGCTGTACTCTTAAGAGGGATAATGTCTATGAGGACGTGGCCAGCATTAGGAGTACATGAAAGGCCTCTTTGGCACACGATGATGTGAAAAGAACCGAGGGTGGGTGTGAGGGGCAAACATGCCAAGAGACTCTGGTGTCCCCTGGTGGGGCTGTACTAACTGTAGAAATGAGTCTTAATTGATTCTGCCAGGGTGAAAGGTAAAGCCTCTTTCCCAGGTTAGTGATTCTGTGTGTGTGCACACTGGGTTGGGGGGAGCCTGCCTGGGGCTGCTTTCTGCTTTTTCACCAAGAATAGCAGGCCAGGAAAGAGCCAGAGAAGAGAGAAGAGGTTGTGTTCTATAAGCCTTCTTACTTGTGAAATTCAATATAAAACATTAAGTGAAAAAAGGTCAGAATACACAAATACTTGGCACTGGTACCACAAATCTAAGCAAATCAGTTCTTTAAGAATAGTCTTCAGTTCTATGCTTCTTGAGTTTATTGAAACCATGGAGAGTAAAACCTGTGAAGTCGTCCTGGGCCTCAAGAAAACAAAAAGTCGGATGAAGTAAAGTCACCAGGCAAGGGAGCTAGAACGAGAGGGGGCTTGCACAAGTCCCTGAAATAGGGGGAGGCTGTGGCAAGAAAAGTGTGAGTAAAGGTGCCTGTAGGGGCAGTTGGTGTGGCCTGCGTCAGCAGAGCCAGGTAGCTGCACTCAGAACAAGTTGCCACCTCTGCCCCAGCCCTCTATCCACTCTGTACTGCGTCCCGCGGGACCCACCTGGGCAGCAAGTCCTCAGTGCCAACTGCATACCCTCAGCCTCTGGTAGTGGGCAGTACTCAGATTTTCTTCCTGCTTCACTCCTTGAATTCTTTAATTCAAGGGGACTAAGTATCCTTTCACAGTCCCCTTCACACCCCTGCCACCAGCAGGTACCAGCCCCATCCCAGGGAAGGACAGGGTTTTTGAGACCCTTTGGGATGTTGCAGATATACCTTCTGCCTTGGAGAAGTCTTGGGCTCTGGAGGTCAGAGTCAGAAGACAGAAGCAAGAGGCTGCTGTCTGGGGTTTTCCTGGGCTCTGAGAACAAAGGGCAGGCAGGGCTTGGGGCCTCTCCCCTGCTGTTGGCAAGCTGGCAGCAGCCTCCCTGGAGGACACTGGCCATGCAGGTCTGAAATGTTAACATTCACACCCAGAGCAGCAGTGGCAAGCAGTGGGTGGTAGAAACACATTTATTTGCTCTTGCTTATGTCTGTTCTCTAAAGCAATGTCTTATTTGTATGAACATTTCTTTTAACGCTTAAAAGGAAGATTATATTCACTGACTCTGTAATTCCATTTCTAGCAATCAAGCTGCAAAATGTGGCCAAAGATTTCCACATGGGAATGGCCAAAGGATTATTTACAGTGGAAAACAATGGAAATAACCTAAACGTTCAAGAGCAGGGGAATTAAACTGTTAAAGAAATTCTGTAGTTTAGGAAAGTGTTCAAGACATAAGTGAAAAAGCAAGATACCAAAATATATATACTGAGTGATCCCCAGTACCTGTGATGTTGTATATAAATGTGAACATACATATGTCAAAAACAGAAGGATTCACATTAAATCAATGGTTACTGCTGGATAGTAGAATTACGGGTGTTTATTTCCTCATGACACTTACCTAACTTTCATAATTTTCTACAATGAATCTATATACACAGAAAGAAAGGTGAAATGTCACTATTAGTATTGCTATTTGGGGGGGGCGGCTGGTCGCTATAGGGATCTGAACTCATGACCTTGGTGTTACAAAGCTGTGTTCTAACCAACTGAGCTAATTGGCCAGCCCAAGAAACATAAAGAAAAAGAGTACATGTTTGCCTAATGTGTCACCTGCGCTACCAGCTCAGGGCTGGAGGATTGGGCATTGCCCTGGGCAAATGGGACAAGGAGCCCATTGGTGTATCCCTCCTGGGAGGGGAAGCAGGAGGGAACCCTGCGCACAGACACCCAATACGCATCTTCATGGCTTTCAGTTTTGCTTCCCAGTACATACCTTCAAAGCAGGAGGGAATTTTGTTTCTCTCACCCACTTTGCCAGCTCCTACCAGGGGCTGGGAACCTGATGGAGTGACCCAGGTAGCCATCAGGGGGGACTCCTGTTCATGGAGTAGAGGTAAGAGGAGGCAGCACGTCTGAGATGTCACCCAGTACAAAATCATGGAAACTGCTCATGGGCCAACTCCTCCCTGAGCTTCAAATGACTGACTTGTCCTTTCATTCAAAAAATAATTACTGAGTGCTTGCCTACTGGGCCCTGGGTATTAAGTGGTGACAAGATACAAACACTCCTGTGCCCTCCTGGAATTTACAGTCTGGTCAGGAAAGCATTGGATAAGCCAGCAGATACATGATTACAAAGGGTCGGGGCAGTACCAAGGAAACAAGGGGGCTCTGAGAGATGACGACAAGAGGCCACATTAAAACAAGACTCAGGGCATGAGAAGGAGCCAGTTTCAAAGAATGGGGAGGAAGGACTCTCCAGGCAGATGGGGGCCACGAGGCAGGAAAGACTTGCATGAGCAGTCCCACAGGAGCCTGCAAAGCAGTGAGGACAGGAGGGGGCCTCAGGGGGCCAGGGACATGGACTGTGTTCTAAGTGTGCAGGGCGTCCATCCACGAGAAGTTTCAGAAAAAGAATCCACTGCCTGACTTATGTCTTGAAAGCAGATATGTGGCTAATGTGCAATAGCAACATGTGTGCTGACTCTTCCCAGGCCAGGCACTTTCCTAAGTGCTTTATGGTGTGGCATGTGTAATCTTCCTGCCAGTCCTCAGAGGCAGCCTGTTTCACAGGGGAGGAAACCAGGGGTCCAAGTGGCCAGGTAGGAAGGACGGAGCTAGTGGCTGCATCCAGGCTGTACTGTACTGCCTCTTGGGGACTCCTGGGTCCCTCTGGCTGTCATGATCCACAAGAGGTGAGGATGGCTCGGCTGGACTGAAGCAGTAAGTGGAGAGAAGTGGACAGATTCCAGACAGTGAGGTGCAAGGTGGACGTGACTCAGTGAGGGAGCAACTCACTGGTGGTTCTTGGTGCCCTGGCTGCACTTGGCAGGAGCTGCCTGGAGGACAAGTGACTTATGGAGGGTGGGGCAGATCTGGGTCTTACCTAGGTTGCTGTCGATCTTCTGGTGATAGGCTCGAAGGTGTGGGTTCTTCGGATAAGTATCGGTGCTCACAGCAGAACTAGCCCCTCCAGAGACGGAGTCTGAGTTTAGAAGGAAATACCGGGAGAATGGTTAACTGACGTCCCTTGAAACACTGCCTCACAGGGGCTGGCCTGTGGCTCACTCGAGAGAGGGCGGTGCTGATAACACCAAGGCCACGGGTTCGGATCCCATATAGGGATGGCCGGTTGCTCACTGGGTGAGAGTGGTGCTGACAACACCAAGTCAAGGGTTACGATCCCCTTACCGGTCATCTTTTAAAAAAAAAAAAAGAAACTCTGCCTCACAAAATTAATCTTGATTTGGAAAATGGACAGAAGGAATGAGGGACCGAGGTGGTTTTTCTGAGGCCATCCAAAGGGACAATGGTGGGAATGGATACGATGTGCTAGGGAGGAGCACGGGGAAGGCTCATGGGCCGGAGGGAGAGATGCTTCCATGTGGGTAGGTCAGGCCTCCAGCCTCACCCTCAGCCCCTGGGAGATAAAAGACCCTCAACCTCTGGGTCACCTGGTCAGACCCTGGCATACAAGCTCTGGAAAGAGACAGAAATTCCTACAAGTGACAATACAGCAGTGGAACTGCAACAACACAAAACTACACAGGCTTGTGGACAAGGTCTAAACACCAAACTTACTATGTTACGGAAATGGGGTTATACGTGACATTTTTTCTTTTTGAAATTTATTTCTATGCTGTCTTTTCACTTAAAATAAGCAAAAAAGAAATGTTAAATAAAACACATTTGCCCCAAGAAATCTTCCTTGAACTTCAGTTTTGAAATGCACACAGGAAGGCCCTGGAATCCCAGTTTACCTCTTTTGGGCAAACATCTCTTTCTAGACTTAGTGTATTTCCTCCAGCTCTAACCTGCTAAATCCATTCTATACATACAGTGGCAAGTTTTTTATTTTTTTGGTGGCTGGACGGTATGGGGAGCAGGATCCAAACCTTTGACCTTAGAATTACAAGGCCGTGCTCTAACCAACTGAGCTACCTGGCCAGCCCTCGAGTTTGTTTCAAGTCCCTTAAGTTAACATACATCACACAAATGAAACTCCCTTTAATTCCTTAAAATCGTGTCTTTTGGGTGCAGGGTCCTGTTCCACTTTTCCAGGGTATGACAAGGTGGGTTTTCCTGAGCCCTTTGCATTTTAGTTTTCTCTCACTTCCTCCCATGATTTCTGGCTTTCCAGACTGAACTGTGCTGATGTCAGTCTGTCTTGACCCTGACCCTGACTCTTCTTCCATCAGGTCTTTCCTTAGCTGTGTCAACCACAACCTTGGTAGGTTCTGGCACTTCCAGGGTGTGTCCTGCCTTCCTTGAAGTAAGCATTTGGTTTCTACCACCATTTTGATGTGCCCGGCTTTCTAAGGAGCCTATGAAGACCCCAGGAGGCCTAAATTCCCTTCCAGATAAGGGATGTTTTGGGGCCTATCATTTGATATTAGTGGCATGTCTCAACCAAGACACATTCTATCTTGCACACCTTGTTCATGCTGCTTTTCCTCCCACTTGGGCTCGAGGCTTGTATTAGTCTCCTACTGCTGCTGTGACAAACTACCACAAACTTATCTTTTAGTTCTGGAGATCAGAAGTCCAACGGGTCTCACTGTGCTAAGTTCAAGGTGTTGACAGAGTTGTGCTCCTTCTGGAGGCTCTTGGGGAGAATCCAATTCCTTGCCTTTTCCAGCTTCTACAGCTCACCTGCATTCCTTGGCAGGTGGCCCTTTCCTCCATCTTCAAAACCAGTAGTATAGCATCTTCAGATCTCTGACTGTGACCCTTTTCCACTTACAAAGGACCCTTGTGGTGATATTAGGACCAACTGGATAACCCAAATTCATCTCCCTATTACAAGGTCAGCTGATTAGCAACTGTAACCCCATCTGCAACTGTCACTCCCCTCTTGCAATATAACTAAACATATTCATGGGGTCTGGGGTTAGGACGTGGGCACCTTTGGGGGGCCATTCTTCTTACCACAGGGGTTTTCCTGCATTTGGCTTTTCACTGCTGGAAGAGCTCAGAGCTACACAGGGCAGGAACCAATGGTGAGCAGGCTCATTTTCTATGGAACACAGGCCCATTTCTTATTCCACCCTCCACGGAGAAGGGAGAGATTGGGGAGCCCCATTGTAACATACACCTCCAGCTCTGAGAGAGTGCACTGGGTCCCTAAAGCCCTTCACCCAGCACATGTGATGCTAGCAGCTAGAGCCTCCACCCCCCCACCCCAGAGAGGCCAACACCACCCAACCCCTCAGGGTCAATGCCAGATCCAAATGTGGATGCATGTACAGGTCTCCACTCACCTGAGTTATCCAGCTTTCTGAGGTTTGGGTGGCTGGCCTGGTATTTTGCCTCCTGTTCTTTACTAATACTTATGGCTTCTTTCAATCTTTGGATAAAAATAAAGAAAAAGAAAATTTTTACAAAGGAAAAAATACCTATGACACTGTTATTGGTCTTTTCAAGTGATGTCTGTATGCTGAAAGTTAAATAACTCCTCTGTGCTAAGCTCCTTTTGACCAAAGCAGGGATTTCAACAGCCCCCGCTGGGAGCACCTTGGGCTGTGCAGCTAGCTTGCATAGACCCTTCCTTGGGAGTGCAGTATCTAGTTAGGAGGCCCTGCCTAGGGAATGTGAGGAGGCCTAGGACCAGGCAGATGAAAAATACATGAAATGACCAAATGGCGACGTTAGACCAGGGTCAGCAAACTATGACCTGTGGGTTAAATCTGGCCCACCACCTGTTTTTGTTTTGTTTCCCAATTTTTTTATTGTGGTAAAATAAACAAAAAAATTCCACCACCTGTTTTTGTACAGAAAAAATGGCCTTTACAGATGGCCATTTGCATTTGACTGGATGATGGGGAATACTAACTTTGAATTTCAATTAGTGGTAAAATAAACAAAAAAATTCCACCACCTGTTTTTGTACAGAAAAAATGAACTTTACAGATGGCCATTTGCATTTGACTGGATGATGGGGAATACTAACTTTGAATTTCAATTAAGAATTTAAGAATTTCATTCTTCTTATGAATAGACCTGTATTACCAAAAAGATGTACTCAGCTATTATTGTTTTTGTTTTTGGCACCTAGCTAGCCTGAGGATCCAAACCCTTAACCTTTTGGTGTTATAACACTGCATTCTGACCAACCAAGCTAACTGGTCAGCCCTTGTTTTTATATTTTAAATTTTGTCATTAAAAATTTGTGGAAATTTGCTTTTTTCTCTTGTTATACAAGTCCCTACAAAATAACTTTGGTTTTGCTTCCTGGCCCACAAAGCCTAGTTTGCAAACTCTGGCTGTAAACAAGGACTTCTCTGGGCAACTCAGAGTCATTCAGACTGTGCCTGGTGCTCTGCTGAGCCCCTCCATGCCCCTGTTGAGTCCTATGCCACTTCTGCTGAGACCCCTGGTGCCCCACTGAGTCTCCAAAGGCATGGCAGATGCCTTGTCTGGGAGCTGAGCGTCCTCAACANTTTATATTTTAAATTTTGTCATTAAAAATTTGTGGAAATTTGCTTTTTTCTCTTGTTATACAAGTCCCTACAAAATAACTTTGGTTTTGCTTCCTGGCCCACAAAGCCTAGTTTGCAAACTCTGGCTGTAAACAAGGACTTCTCTGGGCAACTCAGAGTCATTCAGACTGTGCCTGGTGCTCTGCTGAGCCCCTCCATGCCCCTGTTGAGTCCTATGCCACTTCTGCTGAGACCCCTGGTGCCCCACTGAGTCTCCAAAGGCATGGCAGATGCCTTGTCTGGGAGCTGAGCGTCCTCAACAGCCTGTTCTTTTCCTCTGCCCAAGCTGGGAACCACAGTTATTCTCAATATGTGCCAACTCTCTACACAATGCCACTCTCAGCAATCCCGGTAAACAAATGTCCTCTAGATCCCCCACCCCGCAGGTATCCCAGAAATCTGGCCTTCCTTCTGCTCTGCCTCTCTTTACCCTTGCATGGATTATAGCAAATGCCTCTAAATTCGACCCCCTCTTTCCAATCCTTACTCTCCATGGGTGCCGGGCATCTTTCTTTCTTATTTATTTAAAAAAAAATTTTAAAAGATGACCAGTAAGGGGATCTTAGTCCTTGACTTGGTGTCAGCACCACGCTCTCCCAAGTGAGCTAACCAGCCATCCCTATATAGGGATCCGAACCTGTGGCCTTGGTGTAATCAGCACCACACTCTCCCAAGTGAGCCATGGGCCAACCCTGCCAGGCATATTTCTAAAGCAATCGAGACATGCAGCTCTCTGGTTAAGTCTCTAATGACTCCCCAGTCATAAGAGCAAGTCCAGATTCTTGCAGGTTAATGGTTTTGCAGGCCCCCAAGTAGAATATAGCAGAGCCTGGTGACATAGAAGGATTTAACACTTGAGGATTTCATCACTCAGAAGCAGTGATTGAAGGTCTAGAATACATAGCTGGTTCCTCCAAGCACCTCTGGGAGCCGTGCGTGGACAGGCTGGGTGCAGGAAGAGATGCTTAGCTTCTGAGTCCCCTGGCCACCACCCAGCCTGCACATCTCAAAGTTTTTTGTTTTATTTTCTGGCTGGTAGGGGATCTGAACCCTTGACTTGGTGTTGTCAGCACCATGCTCTTGCAAGTGAGCTAACCGGCCAGCCTTGACATTCTTTTTTCTATGCACCGTCATAAACATAGCATTAATACATAAACGGTGAAAACTTGGTTTCTTTGTGTAAAATGGCTTCCCCCAAAGAAAGCCGATTCCTAGGGACAGTGATAGAAGTGATAAAAAAGTGAAGAAGTCTGAGAGTAATCAGCACCACACTCTCCCAAGTGAGCCATGGGCCAACCCTGCCAGGCATATTTCTAAAGCAATCGAGACATGCAGCTCTCTGGTTAAGTCTCTAATGACTCCCCAGTCATAAGAGCAAGTCCAGATTCTTGCAGGTTAATGGTTTTGCAGGCCCCCAAGTAGAATATAGCAGAGCCTGGTGACATAGAAGGATTTAACACTTGAGGATTTCATCACTCAGAAGCAGTGATTGAAGGTCTAGAATACATAGCTGGTTCCTCCAAGCACCTCTGGGAGCCGTGCGTGGACAGGCTGGGTGCAGGAAGAGATGCTTAGCTTCTGAGTCCCCTGGCCACCACCCAGCCTGCACATCTCAAAGTTTTTTGTTTTATTTTCTGGCTGGTAGGGGATCTGAACCCTTGACTTGGTGTTGTCAGCACCATGCTCTTGCAAGTGAGCTAACCGGCCAGCCTTGACATTCTTTTTTCTATGCACCGTCATAAACATAGCATTAATACATAAACGGTGAAAACTTGGTTTCTTTGTGTAAAATGGCTTCCCCCAAAGAAAGCCGATTCCTAGGGACAGTGATAGAAGTGATAAAAAAGTGAAGAAGTCTGAGAGTGGTGGCCCCTGGTCAGAAACCAAGTCTTGAATAAGTTAGAGAATTTCAAATTGGGGGTAGTTAAATCTATGACAAGAACGGATCTTGCACGAGCCTTAAATGGAAATGAGAACAAGCAGCTTGTGAAGCTGTGTCAGCAAGGATGACAAGGGCTTACCAAGGGACAAATAAAACTTTAGAGAAGGCTGAAGAGTTTCTGTGAAAAGGATGTACACAGGAAATGCATGACTCAATAGAAGTTTGATTAGGAGAAACTCATTTTGAAAGCTTTTAAGCGACAATACTCCTGTATTTGTGGATTAAGGGTTTTAAAAGAATCATGAACATTTTATTCACAATTTATTGCATCTTATAGAAACAATCAGACATTGTTGTGATCTTTGCAAATTGAGGGATTTAGGAGCACAGAAAATGTCTTCAAAGGCCAGACCTCATTGTTAGGAGCCTGCTGGGCACGTGAATGGGCAGTTGCCCATTTCCCAGCTTCTCCTGTGCTGTGACTACCACATGTCCGCCCTGACCCCCTCCTTCAACTGGCTGGCTCCTCCACAACCTCGACTGCATGCAAAAGGTGAGCTCTGTGTTGCCTTCCTTTCCCCTCCTCCATGCATCGCCGTTGACTGTTTGCCTCTACCACACCTCCCAACAGACAGACTGTGCTCCTGCAGCTTCAGCTCCCAACCACAGGCACAGATGTGCAGAGTGTGGGCGCTCAGGCCACATGAAGGAAGGAACCACTCAATGCCACTGGAGCACCCTCTCCTATGAAGCTGCACAGATTCATATTGATGCACATTTGGGGAATAGGTGAATTAGTGTGAATTGCTTCAATGAAAAGTTTTGCTTTCTCACATTTATGAAGTGATGACAAGAATGCTACAGCTGATTGGGGCTGATCTGTGGGCAGGAGGCCAGGCCAGGGTACATGACACCGGGTACCTCGAAGCCCACCTCGCCGAAATAATTACGGCTCTTTCACTAATGGGAAGACTTTGTTGGGAAGACCTTGAGTTTTCCAGATACTCAAAAAAAAAAAAAAAGAAAAGAAAACTGCCCTTGGAATCACAGGACCTAAATGGCTTTTATAAGCAGTGTTTGGGACTCCAAGAGCCCTGGGGAACAGCCTTTGAGAAGAGGCCTGCGGAGGGCCAGCCTGTAGCTCACTTGAGAGAGCGTGGTGCTGACAACACCAGGTCAAGGGTTAAGATCCCCTTAAAAAAAAAGAAAGAGAAGAGGCCTGTGGGATACAGAAAAGTACCTATCACAAACTCATCAGTATCCCACTCTCTAAGGGCTTGCTCTGCTTCTAAGTCTGTGCAAAGAAGATGTCTTAGGCCAAAGTGAATGAACAGCCTACCTTCTCCTATGGTAATTAAATGTAGCCAAAAACTAGTATATAAAACATCTTTCTGATTTGAATATTGGGGAAAAATAAACCCAACTCCAGTTGGGGGAAAAAGAATGAGAGACATTTAATATTAGGGTTGAGCTGGACAGTCTGGGATAAACGGTGATTATGGCTGAGCCAACAAACAAACTCTCATAGCCTTGGCTAGTGCATCCACAGAAAATGGCCCCCAAGTACTCACCAAGGCCTGTCTCTTTTCCTGCAGTTAGTTTCCTCTCCATAAATCCCAGCAACTTCACCTGCCTGTTCTTTCTGCTACAGCCACCTACATTCACCTACATTCATTTTTTCCCAGACCTACTGGGAGTTTTCTAATTTCTTCCCTACCACACCCTACATCTTGATCTGGATGGGGGTCACACAGGTATATAGACAGGTACACAGTCATTGGCTCTCTACTTAAGATACATGCATTTTATTGTACCTTGGTCATGCATCATTAAAAAAAAATAGCTCTGAATTATAGAATTAAAAGAGAGAGAGGGAGAGACGGTTATGAAACCTGTATAATCATATTCTATCAAATATTTTTTGGGTTAAATTGAAGCAGGCTATAAAACCAAAGGAATATCATTATTACAACTACGAAAATACTAAAAGGGAAAAACTAAATTTTCAGTTTCTATGTTATGGTAAAGTGTAGATTTTCTGTAATATGGCCATTTTAAAAATAATGAACAACAGACACAATGTTCTGAGATATGAATAGTAGTAATTGATTTTAGCAGAAACTTGATTCTTTTATCTCTGAACATGTGACACAAACCTGCCAAAATTTCTTGGATGATTTTATTATACTTCTAGGCAAAACTTTGGGGGAAAATAATCTCTAATTATAAATGAAAAAATCAAAGAATAACAAAAAACAAAAAAATGAAAATCAATGGGCAAATTGGATTAGATACTGAAAAGTTGCATATAAAGACTTTCTAGGGCCGGCCCGGTGGCACACTGCTACAGTGCGCCGCTTGGGAGTGTGGTGGCGCTCCCGCCGAGGGTTCGGATCCCACATACAGACCGGTTCCCGCTCACTGGCTGAGCGAGGTGCGGGCCCAACACCGAGGGTTGCGATCCCGTTGCCGGTCCCGATCCCGGTCCGGTACGGGCGCGACACTGAGGGTTGCGATCCGTTGCCGGACACGAAAAAAGACAAAAAGGAAAAAAAAAAAAAAGACTTTCTAAAGCAAAAATTCTGTGAAGTAGGTCATGTTTGTACTGATTAAGCTTTTTGAAATGAACATTCTGTCTTCCAAAGTACTGGAGTCACAATGCTTGGAGTAGTAATTTACAGGAGATCCAGTTTATGCAGAATTTACAGACTAAACACCAATCAGATGAACATAGTCAGGAACAGAAGAGGTTTCTCATTTCAAACTGTTTGAGGACAAATCCCTCCTGATGAGTAACTTACAGAGTTCCTGGATCCCTTTAAGGCACTGATACAACCTGACAGTCTTGGCCATTTGCTCTAAAACCCACTTCTGCTATTTTATATCGGGACAGCTGAAGACGTACTCACCTGCTGTTGGGCTGGGGGGCGAGGGTGCCATTCTGTTCAGGTGAGGTCTCTGCTGGTTTGGATTTGAAGTAATTAACGAGCCCCCCAAACACACTCTTAATGCTGTTGATGTGCTTCTGGCTGGTTTTCAGATCCTGATCCATCTTGTCCACCATCTTCTCTGTGCGTTCTAAGACTCCTCGCTGACGGACGAGTTCCTGGGTAAAATGAGAGGCAGAGGTATTAGACCTTTTTGCAATTCTCCCCCAACCCATTAGAGGACCACACACAGTAGGCACTTCATAAACCCTCAGAGAGCACACATATGGGGATAGATATTGTCATCTGTGAGGGGCACACTATCCTTTCTGACAACACATTTCTTGGTCTCTCTATCCCCACCCTACTTCTACTTGCTTTCTTTATCTGTTTTCCCAAGAGGCTGGCTCACAGGACCTCATTAAGATGTATGGAAGTATGCCAGTTGGGGTCAGAGTCCAGGGCCTTGACTGGCAGCAGACCCTCTCTAGCCACCAGTCCTGGTAATCCTCACAGGTTTGGACCTGGCATCACCCCTGGACTCAATCTTGTACTCTTCCTGTTCAGATGTGGGAGTTCCTTTTGGGCCACATGACCCTCCTGGGTCTGGCCAAATCTTCAAATTCTATTTCATGAGCTAATGTCCTTTCCGGGCCACATAAGTGTTTGATTCCAGCCAATCCACAGTTTCAGCTTTAAAGCCTGTAGCAAGGGTGACCCTGTCACAGGGCTACTTTCTCTGCCTGGAATGCTCCTTACTTGGATACTTGTATGGCTCAGTCTCTCATTTACTTCATGTTTCTACTTGAAGGCCACCTCCTCAGAGAAGCCTTTCCCAAACATCTTCTCTAGAGTAGAACTCCTCCTTCCAACAGCCCTCCCCTCTCCACTGCTTTCATTTTCTTTTCAGCACACAAACTCCATGGGGTAGGGACTTGCTTTGCTCACCCAAACATCTTCTCTAGAGTAGAACTCCTCCTTCCAACAGCCCTCCCCTGTCCACTGCTTTCATTTTCTTTTCAGCACACAAACTCCATGGGGTAGGGACTTGCTTTGCTCACTGCTGAGTCTCCAGTGCCTCACTCAGCAGCTGCTCACTGCAAATCTGCCGAATGACACACTGCAGCCACAGAGACAGCTTGAACCTGATCCCCCCAGAGCTGATGGTTCTGGCTGTGGATCTGAACTTATCACAACAGCAACATTAACAGCTTCCTGTATGTGTGACAAACTTGCTTGAGTCCCTATTTCAGGATTTATCTACAGCCAGTCCAAGCTGTGTTCTCTGTCTGTGAGCTGCCTTTCCAGCCAGAAGACTCTCGGAAGCTTTGTTTTTCCTGCTTTATGAAGTAGCCTCTGCCCTCAGCTACCCTCCTCTGAACCTTCTACTCATGCATTTCCCTGTGGCTTAGCAATTATATTAACTACACAAATTTTCTTTACAGTTGTTCTCTCTTGATACCTAAAAACAAAGCCATGAACAAGTTTTAAACACACACCCTGGAAATGTGAAGGGCAGAAATGAAACCATATATGACTGCTGGAGCCTATTCAGAGATAAAGGTGTCTGCAAAAGGTCTGCAGGGCATTTAGGGGACCCAACGTGTAACTTGGGTTCTTGTTCAGTGGGTGAAATTTAACAATATTGATAGGCAAAAAGCTAAAATAATGGTTGAATGTTTACTATTAAATTCTGTTTAACTCTTATTGGAAATAAACTTACAACTGCTGAACTTTACAGCTTTGAATGGTAATGTTTTTCACCAGCTCATGAGACATGTTTGAATAAACCATCAGGCTTTTTAAAGCAAAAAGAAAACTGTTTTTCATATTGTGTCCTTCAATATGTCAAGCACATCTTGCACGGGCTAATTTTCAGAAGAAAAAAAAAAAAAAAGCTGCTAATTTATCTGGAATTTCTGCTTCTTCCAACACCTCAAGTTTATCAGCTTCATGTCCATACTGAGGTAAGTCTTTTCTGTAACAAGGCAGAGATATAAATTATGATTAAAATTATTTTCTCCAGTATCTATGTGTTTTTTGAGTTGATATATTTCTAACAGTCCAGTCCCAGCTTACTTCCCAGGCTGTGGATGACAGAAGATTTTGAAGCTGGAAAGATGCTAACAGCAGCTGGAGGTGGAGGTGGGGGGTGGGACTGAGGTCCAAGGCTCTGCTTTCACACCAGGAGGGAGGTCCTTGGTTTCTCTGACAGTGAGCTCCTCCCATCACAGCTCTTCTCATAAACCACTTGATCTCCCACCTTGGCCTCCTCATCTCAATTTGGAGAGTTGTAGAGGTAACAAGTAGCTGACAAAACCTTCCCTAACTTGCAGTGAGATCTTATTTTCTTCTGTTCACAAGTGGCACATTCTGTCAAACCTTCAAAGAGTCTGTGTTACTGAGCTGACTTGGTAAGAAAACCAGACATCTGATTTAGATGTTACAATGGAAGTGCAGAGAAATATGTGAGGGTGGCTTGTGATGCACATGAGGCTAGAAGGCCAGAAGAATAAGTACTGCTCTGGTCTCTGGAAGTTTTTGTGTGCTGGAAGCTGGTGTTTATTGAAGGTCATAAGGCCAGCAGAGGAGGAGGAGCTGCTTCTACTCAAATCCTCCCCCAGGAGGCAGAGGAAATGACTGGTCACAACACGTTTGCGACCTAGTTCCAACCAACAAGGAAGAAGGGCAGAGCACACATCAGGAGTGCCAGAAAAGAGAGCCCTAGGGCTGGCCCGGTGGCGCACTGCTACAGTGCGCCGCTTGGGAAGTGCAGCGGCGCTCCCGCCGAGGGTTCAGATCCCACATACAGACCGGCCGCTCACTGGCTGAGCGAGGTGCGGGGGCAACACCGAGGGTTGCGATCCCGTTGCTGGTCCCGGTTCGGTACGGGCGCGACACTGAGGGTTGCGATCTGTTGCCGGTCACAAAAAAAGAAACAAAAAGGAAAAAAAAAAAAAAAGAGAGCCCTGCTGGTCTGTAAGGAAGGCTGGCTGGGTACCTGCACCCTGACCAGTGCGAGGACATGCCTCAAATGCTCCAGCTCCCAAGGTGCACTTCCCTCCTGAGAAGTGGAGCCACGTCAGATCTTCTCCATCTGTCTCTGTGGGAATGAGACTGCCGAAGGGACCAGGGTGGCTGTGAGGGGAGTGAGCTCCAGAAAGTGCCCTCAGTGTAAAGGACAAACATGCAAAGTGCTTACTTAGCTCAGGTAATGACTGAGCATTACAGGTGATTCCCCTCCACTCCCTTGAGCCCCCAAAGGAGTTTTCTAAACTTAAAACAGGAGGGGCTGGCTGCTTAGCTCAGTTGGTTAGAGTGCAGTGTTATAACACCAAAGTAAAGGGTTCAGATCTCCAAACTGGCCAACTGCCCAAAAAATAAATAAATAAAGTTAAACTGGAAAAAGAATACTGACAGAGAAAGGATCTGGTTGGGCTGGCGGTACAATGCCAAGGGACAACACAGAAAGGGAGAATTTCTCAATTCCTCTTTGGCTTGTGACTTTTTTTCAAGTAGAGGGATCCCTGATGGAGCAAGGGGAAGGAGAAGACAGGCAGACAAAGACCCTGTGGGGGCACACGCTGCCCAAAGTGAGGTGACACCCGCCCAGACAGATCATGTCCAAGGCACTGAGGACTTCGAGACATCTGGGGATCCTTGCTGGCAAAGTGCTCTTTGCAAACACACACACACAATGACAGAAGTGCTGCTAGAGCTCTACCCACAGATACTACTGAGTGCCCATTCTCTGCCAGCACCGTTCAAGGGGCTACAGAGTCAGTACTGAACTCAACACCCCATAATCTTTGTCCTAATAGCATTCACAGTCTAATGGAGGGCAAGATGAGTGAAGTTCAATCTGAAATCTTATTTGTTGACAACATTGTGGTGCTGGAATTGGAGGAAGGCAGATGGGTCCTTCTTCCTTGAGCTTACGATCTCATGGGGGAGACAGAAAAGAGAGCCATCATATA